TATAACATCCTGAGGTTACAGAAAAAAAATAGGGGCTTGGAGCATGCCAAGACAGGTTACAAGAGGGAGAGAAGAGAAAAAGGCTAGCATGAGACCGCTAGCCTGGCTAGTGAGGATGATCTTGTTATGCAAATGAACCTCATAGGTAGCAACCCTGAAAGAATAGATAAATAGTGGCCTGTAATAACAGTTTCTCTGTCAGACTTTCAAAGGTGTCAGACTTTGAGTCAGTCTCTCTCTCTCTCTCTCTCTCTCTCATTCTCTCTCTCTCTCTCTCTCTCATTCTCTCTCTCTCCCTCCCAACCCCATCAGTTAATCTTTCCTAGATTTGGACAAGGGGTTGCCTCAGAAAAGGCCTGTTTGCAGCTCCTAGTTACTTCACTTTATTTCCTCCACAGATGCAAATCTCCCTTTCCCCCCTAGAAGGAGGAAATTGCAGGGCTATTCTTGTGCTTGCAGCCTCTCTGAATAGCCATATCAAATTATGCCAAAGAAGTATATTTGGCTGGGCTCAATGGCTTATGCCCGTAATCCCAGCACTTTGGGAGGCTGAGGCAGGTGGATCACTTAAGTTCAGGAGTTTGAGACCAGCCTGGGCAACATGGTGAAACCCCGTATCTACTAAAAATACAAAATTAGGGTGGTGTGGTGGCAGGCGCCTGTAATCCCAGCTACTCGGGAGGCTGAGGCAAGAGAATCGCTTGAACTCAGGAGGCAGAGGTTGCAGTGAGTCAAGAGCTCATCACTGCACTCCAGCCTGGCAGACAGCATGTGAGACTCTGTCTCAAAAAAAAACAAGAAGTATATTTTGGGGTAAAATATATTTTGTTTCCCTCACTGGTCACTTAGTAGAAGCTGTTTGGCATATTATCTTGAGAAGAATTCCCCAATGAGAATTCCAATTTCAGAACGAGTTAGAAGCAAGCTAAAGCAAAGAAGCAAAGTGAGTGATTATTCTCTTGACACCCTAGGAATCAAAAAAGAGTATGTTCTGTGACATATCATGCTTGTGTTTTCTGAGGACACACGGACTTAATCTAACTTCTTTTTTGACCTGATCCAAGCCATCAGCCAACGAGAAAGGTGATTGAATGGTGATGTCTTCCATGAGTCCAGTAATAAGTATGCTCATGCCCACCTGTGATGGTGCTTAGTCCTATCCAGGCCCAAATCCACAATGGGGCATAACTTTTCAGTAACTGCCCAAGGCTTAGGAAATTAACTATTATGCCAAGATGTCCAAAACACAGCATGAGCCTGTAGTGGATGGTACGGCCTTAGTGGCTTACAGACGCAGTGTAGTTTAAAAAGACTGCTGGACTACTTGATATTATAATCCCCAGAGTCTAGGTTAGTTGGAATACTCACAAACTGCATGAACTTGAGAAGGTCAGTTTCTTTCCTAAGCATCAGTTTCTCCATTTATTAAAAAAAATCAGCCCAATAATTCCTGTTCTTCCTACTTCACAGGGATTTTATGACACTCAAATGAACTCATGCTTGGAAGAGAATTTCACTTGGTTCTAGACAAGAACAAGCTATCATCATTAGTTTGCTGGTGACAGGGAAAGCTGCTATTTCCTTTCCCTACCTTATTTTTTCTTTTCTTTTCTTTTTTTTTGACAGAGGTAGTCATTTATGCACCAGAAAGAACAGTTAAATTTCTAGGCTGTGTGCTCCTCTTAGTGAAATGATTTAGAGCCATGTGTAAATAGCACATAAATTTATTATGACTTGGGTCCAAACCGGGGAATGTGTCTGTATATACACACACACACAATCACCTCTGAACAGCTAACAGTGAAAAATATTGCAGCCTTGTAAAAACCAAAGCCACCTTCTTCCCAACTCCTGACAGCTAAAATGTCCTTAAAATAAATGGAAAGGAAAGTTAACTCTACACACCAGTGCTATGGAGTTTTTATAAATCAGGCAAATTTTGAGTCTTGCAGGTAACGTCAGACCTGACGTTTACACTCCTGGTATTTCAAGCCTAATTACTTGCTGCTGAATCGCCCAGGTGGCTCTCCAGGCACAAGGATGCGGAACCGCTATTTATTTATTCTAAAGAAACAAACAAACAAAAAGTTGACCGTTGGGCCAAGTTAATCAAAAAGTTTTTAATAGAGTCATTGAAGGACCAGGGCAAATGCTTGGAGCCATAAGCAGGTGGCGCAAATCATTTTTAGTCTTGTTAGAGAATGCGCAGCGGGCTGCTGCAGGGAGATGATTTCCTGCCTAATTAATCTGCATGTTGCCACCCTGGAATTTATTCATTTTGGGGCATGAATCCCATCTGTAAGGCCAGTTGTTAGAACTGGTGAGAAAAGACTTTCTTTTTTCCTTATTTATTAGAGGAGAGAAGGGGGGAGAGGGAGAGAGAGAGAGAGAGCAGAGAGAGCCCATGTAGTTATATTTCAACTCGAAGCAAATCAAATACTCCTCTGAGTCTTCAGTATTTGAAAGCAGCCAAATGGCTGATGCAGGGTGGCCTGTTCTTTTTGTATTTATGAAGGAATTTATATGTATGTGTGTGTATACATATCACATTTCCTCCATAAATGTATATATCACAAAACCACATATATATTGCATTATATATATAAATATAGATACATATATAACTTTATATATATTACATTATATATGTAAATATATATACATATACATAGATATATATATAAAACTTTTTTGGTTTTAGTAGCAACATCTTAATTGGACAGAGCAGCCAGTCACTTAGGGTGATGTAAGATGTTTTGAGGCACCGATTGATTAGCCAATCAGGCATGCTGCACTAGTCTAAATAGCGTCTTTGTGAAACTTAAAAAATGCACCCCTTGCTCAAGACATTTTACTTCTGTTTGTTTGGAAATTGTCATACTATATTGAATATGTTAGAATAAGACGCTTTACTGCCACCTGCCAGAAAGCTGTCATCATACGAACTTCAATCTACAGTGTCTTCAATGCAAAGACCACCTCTTTAGATGCGTTGCTCTTGCGTACCACATGGCCTAAACAATTGTACATGTTGGCACCACCATCGATGCAGCATTTAGCAAGCTGCTGGGGAAGACTGGCTGCTCATATGGTCCCTGCCCTCAGGCAGCTCAGTCTAGCTATGACAGACATTAGTCAAAATAATCATCCAAATACATGTACGATGACAAAATCGGGAAGTGCTTTGAAGAAAAATTTCGGGGTGCTACGGGACTTCTTTAATGTGATGATAAATGTGTATCTAGTGTTTAAAATAGTTCTTGGCAACACAGTAATGCTCAACTGATAATCACAAGGATGAAGAATTCGCAAATTACAACAATCCACAAAACAGAAGTGTGTGGCAATAAAGCTTTCTTTGTAGAACTGATTTTAATATCTGATTGGGAAACCTACCAAGCAGACAATGTCAAACAGTGATGTTTGGGTAATTCAGTTCAATCTAGTGACTTCTAGTCAAGTTCAATCCCCCTGTCCTTCTAAGCTCTGTCTGTGGTCAGTGTAAGTCTTCAGAGAGAGACAGCTGGGTCACAGGCCACCCGTGGATGCTCCTTTCCTCACCCTTCCAGGCAGCCTATTCAAACTGGGATGTCAACATCCCTGCTTATGTGGGCCTCTTTCCGAATGCTGAAAGCCCCGTTGGTCCCCTCCAAGCCACTTTTAAGGTAGGGCCCATCACAACCAAGGGCAGCCAGCTGCTGATCCTATGTGTGGGGTGGGTCTTCGGCGCTTCCCCTCGCAAGCTGCAGCCAGAGGCCAGATGGCACATCGGGCATCTTTTCTGATGCTCAGAAGGTCTGGTGCTTGGCTTAATTGTCTACAGTCACCATCTTGAAATTCACAATCATTTTGTCTTTGCACTTGTCTTTTGTGAAATAGTGCACGCACCTGAGCAGAGCAAGGTGTGCAAAATGCATGTCGCCATTTCTTCCTGTCCCATTTGCACATAGCATTTGAGTTAATTCCTCGTATTGACCAACCACTTAAGTGAAAATGGTGACACAGAAAGAGAAAGAGAGCACAACCCATAGTTTCTTTTGTCTTCAGTCCTTCCTTAACTCATCAGTAAGCCAAAGGTAGAGAATGTCAGTAGAATGTGCGAATGTCACAAAGGGAGATAAAGACAGCATCTCCCCTGTTCTGGAAAGGACAGAATGTGTATGCACGTACAAGCTATGAAATACAAATTGTGTAATGCCAGGGCTTCTGCATATGAGTTAAATGCTTTTAAATTTGCATTTAAAGCTGGCATTGCACGATTTAAAGTAGAACGGTAAAATTCGGGCTAATAATTTTACATTCTAATTTTTCTTTACTCAGAACAACATTAAGTAGCAAATAAAAAACTCCATGACAAGTTGAGAGAGAGACAGACTGCAGAAGAAAGTGAAAAGCTTTGAATTTTAGCACTTTGCCCTGCTTTCTGAACAAGAAGCCTTACATTTCATTGCACTATGTCCTGCAAATGATGTAGCTGGCCTCGCTCAAGCTCCACACGCTGCACAGAGCTCCTTCGCTGCTTTTCCCACCCCCGGCAAAAAGCTAGGAGGTGGGGAGGGAGGGCAAAAGGTACACAGCTTTGTGCACTTAATTTTCTTTTTCCTAAAACTCCAACCCTTTTTTATTTTCCCAGCACGTGTTTCTAGCTTTTCCAAGGGCAAAGCATTGACAGCCAGGTTTAATTGTCTCTCTACACTTCTGGGAAAATGGCTGTGGCATCTAGCTGGGAGCTGTGTCTTCTGAACGTAGTAAGAGACTGGTCTTAGCTTTTGGGTTGGCCTGTCTCCATGGCTATTCATTACAGTTCACACTTAGTTGGGACTTTTGGGAGAGAGGGAGAAGCCAGAGCCAGCAAGAACAGAGGGGAGACAGGCAGGGTCAGGGCACCGTGCTTCCACATCTCTCCTGATGTGGACTGTAGAAGCTTCGTAAGCACCTGCTGCATAGGGCCTGGCTCTGTTGGGCCTCAGAAAACAGAACCCAAAAAGGAAGGTCTCAGCAGCAGCCCCAGAAGCAAAAGTTTCTCTCTGGCCTTCTCCTTCCCTCTTCTGAGTCCCATTCTCTCCCAAGACCAGCCATTGAGACTAGAATCCCTCTTCCCCAAGGCAGGTTGCAGAAACCGGAACCCCTTTTCCAAAGCCAGCCATAAAATCTAAATATATTATCTGTGAAATCTGACCATAAAGAATGTATCTGACCTACCTGGTTTGACTGTAGGTCACAAGACCCCCATTCCAGAGAGGGCCTGCCCTATACCCAGAAGGAAGTGATGCTTCAGAGAGGCCAAGAAGAATCTAGACAGACAGGCCTTGCTGGATTTTCTGACTCAGTCTATTAACATTAAATCATCCCCCCTTTTGTCAAATCAGACTTCTACCTGGCTGCCCACACTTCGTTAAGCTAAAACATAAAAACAGATAGCTCCTCCCCGCCTTCGGGTCTTCATCCTGAAGCCTCCGTGGATACACGTTGAATGAATTAGGATGCTTTCTCTCCTATTACTCGGTTGGCCTCATGTCAGTGATTTTTCAGTGAACCGCAGTTCCCTCGTCGGTGGGCTGCCATGTGGGACAGGCAGGGAAGCACAGTGGACTCCAGGAAGGAAGAGGCAAGGCCCTTTGGGGAAGGAGCATCACTCAGTGGCAGATACAGGAAGCCCCACAGCCAGGATTTTTGGTCCTCTGCTCCACAGCGCACAGGCTTCAGAATCCTTCCTGAGGATTCTCCATTACCACCACACTTTTTAATTTTAGGAAATCAGCATGTTTTATTCATTAAAAAGATAAAATATCTTTGCGCCAGGAACGCCCCAGAGGAGAGCAGTGCTCAGGGTGGCTAATGGATTTCTTTATAATGCAATTTAATGCAACAAGGCAACTAATGTATTTATGGTTGGGAGAGTTTTCTGCTCCGATTCGGGATGAGGGGCTGACAGCCTTAGACTGGGGATACTGCAGAATCCACACCCAGTCCCTGGCCTCACAGAGGCAGCTACTTTTTGCCTGAGCTACAGCCCTGAGGCTGAGCCATTACCCTGAGTGACCCATCCCCAGGAGACCAAGAGGCAGCAGGGCTGGGCCACTCTCTAGCCATCACCTCTCAGGCCCAGGAGGGAGACCCTGCAGGTAACCAAACAAGGGTTGAATTATCCTCCGTGAAAAAGTCAACCTCTTGAGCATGAAAAAGCCCCAGCTCTGGTATTAGAAACCAACTGAAGCAGGGATGGGTAAGCCTTCTGTGAGGAGGGAATTCTTTTTGTTTTCTAGAATCTGAGATTCCTGAGAAGACCGTGGAGGGGAGGCTCCTCTTCTGAGAGTCAGGTGGTGACCTAGGAGCCTGTGAAGCCGAGGACCTTCTCACTGGGAGCTCTGACTAATCAAGAACAGCCAGGGCAACAGCCACATCTGTGGCCAGCAGAAATCTTTCTGATGCCCCCTGGCTTAAAGAAAAGAGACACTGTGGGATTACAGCTATCCTATAAAAAAAGCAAAATTCATCTTTTTCACATTCACCTGTGGGGCAGAAAATAGACACTGAGGGCTGAAAGCCCTTCCTCCATGGGTCGGCCAGGATGGCATCTGGTGTCTCAAAGGCCAGAGGCAGGTGAGGTAGTGGAGGCTGAGAGAGGCTTTGGAGGAGGAGGGCTCCACTGTTGGCAGCTGCTTCTCCTCCTCGGATTTTCCCCCTCTTCTCTCTGTTTTGATCTACTAGTACTTCTGCGTTTCTGTTTCTCCTCCTAGCCTGGCTTTTCTAGCCTTGGAGAGGCACTCAAAGAAGGCTCAGAGCAGGTGAGCAAAAGGCAAGAGACAGGAGAGGAAGCCAGGCAGTGAGGTCATCAGGAGGCCACGTTGTGGAGCAGAGGTCAGAGCACTTTGACGTCAGTGTTTCTGGTATGGGAGTCCTACCTCTGCCAGAGCATACAGACGCAAAACACATTTTCTGAAATCGTTCTTTCCTCTGAAGCTTTCTGGTTTGGTTGAGAACAAACAAACGAACAGGCTCCTAGAAGAGAAAATAATTTCACCTTCTATAGTTTTTTGTTTTTGCTTACCTTTTAGAAAACAATTCCAACTTTTATTTTAGATTCAGGGGTCCATGTGCAGGTTTGTTACAAGGGTACACTGCATGATACTGAGGTTTGGGATATGATTGATCCCATCACTCAGGTAGTGAGTATAGTACCCAATAGTTTGTTTTCTAACCCTTTCTCCTCTCCCTCCCTCCCACCTCTAGTAGTCCCCAGTATCCATTTTTGCCATCTTTATGTTCATGAGTACCCCATGTTTAGCTCCTACTTGTAAGTGAGAACATGCAATATCTGGCTTTCTGTTTTTGCGTTAGGTTGGTGGCCTTCAGCTGCTCCCATTGGGTTTCTTAGGTTTTCTTCTAGGATTCGTATAGGACATGATTTTGTTCTTTTTATGGCTGCATAGCATTCCGTGGCGTATATGTACCAATTCTTTATCCAATTCACCATTGACGGACGCCTAGGTTAATTCCATGCCTTTGTTATTATGAAAAGTGCTGCAATGAACATACAAGCGCATGTGTGTTTTTGGAAGAAAGATTTATTTTCTTTTGGATATATAACTAGTAATGAGATTTTTGGGTCAAATGGTAGTTCTATTTTATGTTTTTTGAAAATCTTCAAGCTGTCTTGCACAGTGGCTGAACCAATTTGCTTTCCCACAGCAGTGTCTGTGGTCCCCTTCTCTGCAGCCTCACCAGCGTCTGTTGTTCTTTCGACTTTTTAATAACAGCCATTCTGACTGGTGTGAAATGATACGTCCTTGTGGTTTTGATTCACACTTCTCTGATTGTTAGTGCTACTGAATATTTTTTTTCATATGTTTGTTGGCTGCCTGTATGTCTTCTTTGGAGAAGTGTCTGCTCATGTCTTTTGCCCTTTTTTAATGGGGTTTTTGTTTTTTGTTTGTTCAACTGTTTAAGTTTCTTATAGATTCTGAATATTAGATCTTTGTTGGATGCATAGTTTGCAAATATTTTCTTGCATCCTGTGGGTTATCTGTCTTTAGTTTAATTAGGTCCCACTTGTTAACTCTTTGTCGACTTAGTCTACATTATTCCCAAGGTCAATTTCCAAAATGGGGTTGCCCAGGTTTTCTTCTAGGATTCTTACAGTTTGAGGTCTCACATTTGAATCTTTAGTCCATCTTGAGTTACTTTTTGTATATAGTGAAAGGTGGAGGTCTGGTTTCATTCTTTTGCATATGGCTAGCCAGCTATCCCAGCACCATTTATTGAATAGTGAGTCCTTCTCACATTGCTTATTTCTGTCAACTTTGTCAAAGATCAGATGGTGATAGGTGTATGGCTTTATTTCTGGGTTCTCTATTCTGTTTCACTGGTTTTTGTAGCAGTATGATGCTGTTTTGGTTACTATCGCCTTATAATATAGTTGGAAGTTGGATAATGGAAAGCCTCCAGCTTTTTTCTTTTAGCTTAGGATTGCTTTAGCTATTCAGGTTCTTTTTTGGTTCCATATGAAGGTATAGTTTTTCTAGTTCTGTGAAAAATGATGTTGATAGTTTGATAGGAATAACATTGAATCTGTAGGTTGCTTTGGGCAACCATAAAAGTATGGCCATTTTAACAATATGGATTCTTTGGGCAACCATAAAAGTATGGCCATTTTAACAATATGGATTCTTCCAACCCATGAGCATGGAGCATTTTTCCATTTGTTTGTGTCATCTCTGATTTCTTTCAGCAGTGTTTTATAGTTCTTCTCATAGAGATCTTTAATCTCCTTGGTTAAATATATTCCTGGGTATTTTTTTATGTGTATGGCTATTGTAAATGGGATTGCATTCTTGATTTGGCTCTCAGCTTGAACATTATTAATGTATAGAAATGATACTGACTTTTTTTACATTAATTTTGTATCCTAAAACTTTACTGAATTTGTTTATCAGTTCCAGGAGGCTTCTGACAGAGTCTTTAGAAATTTCTAGGTATGGACTCATATCATCAAACTTTTTTCTTTCTCTGAGTGCTCGCTCAGAGTCCTTGCTCTGGCTAGGACTTCCTGTCTTTGCTTTATCCTTTGCACAGTTTTCTGCTTTTTATTCTCTACCTTATCTTCTTTTTTAAGTGTAGATGGTCGTTGGGGCTGGAAAAGTAGACTTGGGAGCCAAGGTAGTGGCTAAGTTGCATAAATAAAAGACACAGACATCTAATGAAGTAAATCTACAAAGACAATAGAAAACTGAGGATGATAATACTGGTTGCTATTGATTCAGTATCCAACATATTCAAGGAGCTTTCTATATATCACTTCATTTAGTCCTCTCAATAATTTAGACCTCATTAGGGATCAAGAAGAAATCAAGTGTCTAAATAGAGAGAGAGAAAAAAAAGGAGAAACCAAAGAGAAATAAGAGAAATCAATATGTGTGATATAAGACGGTGAATGGCTAGAACATGTGCCACTTCTCTCTTTTTCAGGCCGGTGACAGGCATATTAATCAATCACAGTGTCCTGGATGTAACTTGAATTTTTCTCTCCATATAACACTCCAAGCAACCATTAGTAACTGGAAGAAACAAGTGCTCAATTTTAAATGTATTGGCAATGGTTAGTGTTATAAGAAAATCAGACAGAGTTCTAAAAGGGGATTGGTTGGGAGATGCCAGCTGCTTCAGAGGGGCCATGCTGAAAAGCACTGATTGTCCAGGAGCACCCTAGTGGTACCTGCAATGAGGGTAGTTTCTGTCGAGGGGTGGTGGTGGGATCCATGCTGCAAGAGGTTAAGAAGGTGATGGAAGGAGAAGTAGAGGCTGTGGGTACAGGTCACCTGTTCCTTGAATTTGCAAGCACCAAGTTCAAAAGTTGTTTGGACAGATAGTAGGATCCAGCAACACAGAGGAACTGGGTATTCATAACAGAGGCCATAAGGAGAGAGAAGCTGAGAAGCCTAGAGGCCACAAATGTGAAAATGCTTCGAAGACTATGGAGTGCTTTACAAACACGCAGAAAAGAACATGAAATAGTAAAACATTTGACTCTCATGTTTTCCTAATTAAAAAGAATAGGAGGATAAACAATTTTCTCCAAATGTTATACACATCAGGTACTTAGCCTCCATTGAACTGATAGGATCAATGGCATTAAGCAGTCAGGATGTGGGTTGGGATACATGTTCCAAAGGCCTGTTTCTCATTGTCTCAGTTGTCATTTTTATATTTTAGGAACAGATCTAGCTGTGAGTAATTGGAAAGCGTAGGTTGTCTTATAACCACAGTTCCATCACTGTGCCTCTCAACTTGACCATGAAGTCCACACAGGCCCCTCTCCGCCTTGGCTCCTGCAGAGCTCAGCTTCGATGGGCTCCCAAATTGCTGCAACCACCTCTTCCCTGTCCTGCTGCTAAATGACATCCACCCACCCACCTACCCGAGGCATTTGTTCACAAACACTATCACTACAAAATATTTCTACTAAATGCTCACAAAACGAACAAAATCCATCTGCTATTACTTTCAGAAAATCGTGCCACAAAACAGGCCTCCCACATCACTCTCTGTGGCTGTGTTACACTTTGTAGTTAACATGAGCCTCATGGACTCATGGACAGCCATGGACAGGAGGGGAGAAATTGTTTTAACGTCCAACCAACGTGGATGACGTTTTCCTTGAGACATGCTCCAAGAGTTTCCACGACATTTTTCCTACCCAGGCTCTGTGCTGAATAACAAAAGCTACAATTTATTGAGCAGCTAATTCGAGCCAAGTACTTTGCAAAAGTTGTTTCTCATCCTTCTAAGTTTAGCATGGGGGGATCCTGTGGTAGACACAGAATGATGTCACTCAGGTTTTGTTTACCAGCAGTAGGGGTGCAGCCAGCAAATGACCTCAAGCTGTGAACTCCTTTAGGATCTTCCTCCGCTGCAGAGAACTGCCTTGCTAGAGGTTATGTCTTTCTCAGGGCAGCCTGCATCCACGTAAATGCCCAGCCATTTTAGCCCAAAGTGGAACATTCATTCCATCAGGCACTTCCCATGCTCCAAAGAGGTCAAGGCTTTGTTTGGTCTTCATCAAAGTTCAGCTTCTTCCTCTGCCCAGTCTTCCTCCGCCCTCCTTTTTTTCACAGGTGCTGATCGCTAGTAAACATCTTGTACTGCAAACTCAGTGTTAGCTTTGAATTCTGTTTCCCAGTCTATGAAAAGGAGATAGCACCTCCTATGGTTATTAAAAAGGTAAAACAAGATCATGCAGAGTAGAGTGCTTTCTGCCATGTCTGGCATACAGAACATGGTCAGTAAATGTTTGGCCATGTCAAAAGTCACACAGCTAGAAACTGTTGGATCCAGGACTCCAGCCCATCTGCCTAACCCTACCTCTTGGCCCCAAAATTGGTTTAGAACTTTCTCATGATACTTCTCTTATAATGCTTTGTTTCATGGTTATTTGCCTGTTATTATATCCCTGCCATCTAGCTGCTAAGTTCTTGGAACAGAGATTATGCTATATCCATCCGTGACCCCAAGGCCTAGCAGGGGCCTTATACATGGGGTGGTGCTCCATTGTTGTTTACTGATGGAATGGCTGTATGCCTGACTAAACTGCCAACTCTTTTAAACTTCCTGTGGGGCTTGGAAAACGAATTAGATCATTTCGGATGCCCAGGTTTTACTTGGCATTTCTAGGTTTCCCAGTCTTCTCTCTACCTATTTTATGGGAATCTCTAAACTAATAAACCTAAACACCAATCTGAACAGGACAAGGAAGTGACTGTGTTGGACCAGGTTGCAGGGTTTTGAGTGAGAGGCTAGAGCTGGAATCTCATCAGGGAGCTGCCCTGGGCACAGCCCAGACTCTTCTAAAGCTGCTGGCCGGGCAGGGGGCACTGAGCTGGTCCTGCTGTTGCTCTCAGCGTGGGCCCCTGCTCTGGGGTGAGGGGTAGGCAGAGAAGCCTCCCTACCCTGGCAACTTCTGTCTATCAAAAGAGGCTTCCTGGTGGGTTTTCTCACTCGCTTTCATGAGCCAAGTACTTGGATGTAAGACTAAAAGGATTTGTCCAAATTCTGAAAACTTGGATTGTAATAGTTTCTACAGCACGCTCTGGCAGAATAATCTGAAACAGTCTTTCTTAGTAGAAAGTAACACCAGCATATCATGAAACAAGTCCGCTTGGGTGAGCCAATCTCCTTTCTGATCTCCTCAGGATCCTTCCTTGCCACAAGAAGAGCTGGGAATTCACTGTAAGGCAGGCCTAGTCCAAATTTGGACTATATAAAACTGTTTTTCCTTTGTATACCTCCTCCACTCCTTTCCACTATGAGGCAGATTTTAAACAGGAGAATTATTTGATGTTTAATTCCTTCCAGCAGAATCAAACTTTTAAAGAGGAATGCAGAGACGGCAATGATCGATGTAAAAGTTTTAATGATGAAATTTTAGACCCTATGACACTGTCCCATCTCTCAGCACCTGCCTACACTGTGTGTTAAAGTCAGGTCTTGCTTACAGTGTCTCTGCCATGCTATCTGCCAAGGGCTGTGGCAGTGTGAGATACTGTATGTTTAAATAAAGGTATTATTATAATCTAGGTTCTACTGGGCCAAAACATCACATGATTTGATGATATAGTTGGAGGATACAGAGCCGGAGAAATTAAGGCATACACTAAGAAGAAATGGAGAAAAATATTTTTTTCAAATGAGAATTGAAATAAGATGGAACTAATGAGGCAGAAAGCAGTTTGGACTGGCAAGAACTCTCAGGCTAGTTAGCATACCTCCTCAGGGAGGTGGAAGGTAAGACAGAGATGCTGGATGGACTTGGCCCCAATGCTTCTTTTTAGTTTTATTTTTTAAAGCATTTTCCCCCTAATTATAAGTAGTACATGCCTATTGTAGAAATTTCATAGAAGAGACAGTTACAGAGATGAAAGTTAAAAGCCATATCAGAAGACTCTACTGCCTAGTCAGTCATTCTTGACATTCTGGAATGTTCTCGAATGGCCTTTAGAAATTATACACATATGTATTAACATGTTTTCCCAGAAACATTTTGGTTTAATAGACTGTCCATGTTAGTATGTAAATAATAGTAAATTTCGTATCTACTATCTTTTGACTTCCAGGCCTGTTTTAACAATGTGACATGATGTGTCCTTCTAAACATGGACAATATTAATGATGACACATGAGTCTGCATTTGTATGGTGGCTGTATCTAGCATAGTTGCTAAAATCTTTCCTAATTCTAATAGTCCATATGGACATTTTCAAGGATTTTTTACATCAAGAAATCGTATTACTTGTGCATAATGACAATGTTATCTCTTCCTTTTTAGTCCATTTACCTCCAATTTCCTTTTCCTTGATTTACTCTGTTGGATAAGATCTCCTGTAGAACAATGTTGAATAGAACCTGGGACAAAGGACAGGGTATCCTGTAACGCTTCTAATATTTTAAAAGTGTAAAATTGAAGACTTATTCATAATAAAAACTGTTCACCAACTATAAATGAAAAATATTTTTCAAAACTTGATGACAAGCATCCACCAAAAATCTAATGAGAATATTCTACTTTCGACACATATTGCCCCTGTCTAGGAGGATAAATGCATGTTAATAATTGAATATGCATGTGAATGCATAGGAAGCCTAGAAATCAAAAGGTAATGAATAAATATCATGCACATATTATATTATGAATATACTATTATGCACGTATTAAAATGGGCATCCTTCTAAATCAAAGCCTTTCTGGAAAAAATGTGACATATTTACGTAATTTCTTTAAGGTCATTAGGGAACATTCTAACATGTTAAAAATGGTTGACTCAAGACACTGGAATTTATATTTATAAAAGACAAACAAGTTTTAAGACAAAAATAATTTGTAGGGGTAAAGATAAAGCATGAAATAATGATAAAAAGAAAAATTCACTAGGAAGATAAGGCATATTTTTAAAAAACAGTTTCATAATGTCTGTTTCTGGTGGATGAATTTAATATAATTTTATTTATTTTGAATATTTATATTTTTAGAAGTACGTATTCAATTGTTATTCTTTTAGTGGTTACCCTTGAATTTTTTAGCCTACATACTTGATTTAAGAAATCTAACATTAAATCAACACATCTACCCTCTGTGGAACAATACCAGGGCCTTAGAATGTTTTAATACTGGTGACTCTCACTCATGATCTATGTCATTATCTAAAATTTTGGTTCTGTTTTTAAATGCCCTAAAATTAGTCATTTTATTATGCATAGAGTTTTAGTTTTGTTTTTCCTTCTTTTCTACAGTTGATACTTATTTGGACTTCCCCTGGTGTTTACCGATTTATTTGTTCCACAGTGTTTTATGTGTTCCACTTCTGTTTTCTAGGTTCAATTTATTTCTAAATAAATAACTCTTCAGTAGTTCTTTTGGCAATGATTTGTGAGTGATAAACTCTCTTTGCTTTATGTTGCCCTCACTCTTGAATCGTGATTTCTCTAGGTATACAATTCCTTGTTGACAATTATATTCCTGCTTACCTTGAGGATAGCATTCCACTGTATCTAGGCTCTGTTTTTTCTGATGAGACATCAGTCCATTTATTGTTTTTTTTTTTTTTTAGATATCTGCTTTCCCGATCTTCCAAATTCTTAAAATTTCTGTATCACTTTTCATCTCTTCTTCAGTGCTGTAAACATGATTCTTAATGGCAATGTCTTTAATTTTACGAATATGCATAATTTACTCAATTGTCTCCTTAACTGAACATTTATATCTGTTTGCTTTTAAAAATTAACTATTAATGCTGGGATTGACATTGAGTATACATATATTTTTCCATACATTGCATATTAAGATACATGCAATACAAAGTAATGACTTAGGAGGAAGGGAAGTTATTAACAGGAAAATAATAAAACAAAGTACAGGGTAAGCACAGAAAAATTAATTCTACCTTTTCCTTAAAGTAAGCTATGAACATAAGGTGCCCAAGGGGAGATGAAAATATGGTTTAAATATGTTTTACATTGTCTATAAAATAAAATTGAATGAATTACTCAAGAGAAGCAAACTTGTTTCCTAACACTATTATGGGTGAAGAAGAGACCCATGGCATGATACTGACATGCAGTTCAGTCATGGTGATTCTAAGAGGGGTTGGAACAATGTATTTCACATATACAACTTCCTAAGAGTCTGACTTCTTCTATGGGTAATGTTTGAAATATCTTCTACAGGGTCTTAATCTGCAGACTGTGAAACTTCTGGAATTGTCTGCCAAGTTTGTATGTTGCATTTTGGGGTACAGAGATTTGAGGCTGTTGCTGTTCTTCCTGTCTGATTTTGTATAGGGATCCACTCCAGCTCCAGCTCCAAAAACAGCTCTTGATGGCATATCCCTGGTAACTTCCAGAGGCCCATTGGTGGGCATAACACACGAGTTGGCTCAACTATTGTACGGTGAAGCTTGTTTATGCTCTGTCTCTTTCTAGATCTGCACAGGAAGCACACAGCTCTGGTTACCACTGGAAGCCGTCTTGCCCCCACAAGCCAGCCTTAAGATGCTGCTGATGCTGGGATTGCAGAATGGAGTAACAGAGAAGTAAGTTGTTGATGACACCATTCACTGCTGATTGTAGCATGTCTGGAGTCTGCTGTACATCTAGATTTCAGTTATTTCCAGATATTTTAATGGAACTTAAGCCAATGTGAATCATGTTTTCCTGACTTGCATCAGAAAGTATTGTCACTGATACAGAGATGCATAACTTGACTTTGAAGAATCTGTGACTAAAAGGATGTAAGAGTCAGCTATAAAAATGGATGACAGACTAGGTGTGGTGGCTCATGCTTGTAATCTTAATGCTTTTGGAGGCTGAGGTGGGAGGATCGCTGGAGCCCCAGAGTTCAAGGTTACAGTGAATTATGATCGTGCCACTGGCCCTCCAGCCTGGACCACAGAGCAAGACCCTGTCTCTAAAAAGAAAAAGAAAAGAAAGAAAGAAAAAGGAAAAAAGAAAGAAAAGGATGACAAGTCTTAAGAATTGTCACATTCATAATGTTTTCTAAGCACTAGGCAGTGGTCTTAGTACTCTATGTACATTAATTTATCATCATAAGAACTCAGTAAAATTGGTCTTATCATCCCTGTCATTATCTAATTATCATTTCCATTTACAGAAGTAGAAAGTGAGTCATGAAGGTTAAGTAACTTGGCTAAGTTCGCTCAGCTGCTGAGGTCAAGCAGCCTGGCCCCAGAGCCTGGGTGCTTAACCACTGCCTCTCGGTGAAGTGCACCTACCTCCTGCAGAGGTCACGTGTCTTCCAACCTGGGGTTTTGTGTAAACATAGGACAACATAGAGGTCATGATTTCAATCCTTGGCAAGAATCTAGAGGACAGCTATTCTGAGTTGCCAAGAAGTTGGCAGATGTACGACTTCAATAGTCAGTGGGGAAGGGAGGACAGCATACGGGTTAAGAGAGCAGGAACTGGTATTCGGCCTGAGTTGAGTCTGGATTTGCTGCTTACCAGCATTATGCTCTAATCTGTGGGAGTTTTATTTTCTGCAGCTATAAAGTGGGGGATAGTAATCTTTAGCTCGCAACGTTATAAGGCTTAAATAAGATAGTGGGCACAGACAGTGGTCTTCCTGCTGAGAGACCACGACTTAGAATGGCTGGTCTCTGGCCTCTGTATGAGTGTGGGGAAGCCTGGTGGTCAGTCTGCACGGCACGGTATCAAGGCACAGTGCCTGATTGGGAGAGTGGAATAAACAGTAGATGCTTTATTAGTATAAGGCACCTAGAATAGGCAAATTCATACAGACTCAAAGTAGAATAGGGGTTACCAGGTGCTGGGGGAAGAGGGAAAGGGAGTTTGTGTTTAACGGATACGGTGTTTCTGTTTGGGGGGATGGATGGGGTGATGGTTGCACAACAGTGTGAATGTATTTAATGCCACCCAAGTATACACTTAAAAAATAAAATCGCCGGGCGTGGTGGCTCACACCTGTAATCCCAGCACTAAAGGAGGCCGAGGCGGACAGATCACGAGATCAGGAGTTCGAGACCAGCCTGGCCAATGTGGTGAAACCTTGTCTCTACTAAAAACACAAAAATTAGCCAGGTGTGGTGAGGTACATCTGTAATCGCAGCTACTCGGGAGACTGAAGCATGAGAATCACTTGAACCCAGGAGGCAGAGGTTGCAGTGAGCCAAGATTGCGCCACTGCACTCCAGCCTGGGAAAGAGTGAAACTCCATCTCAAAAACAAATAAATAAAAAATAAACTGATAAATTTTATGCTATGCATATTTTACCACAATAAAAGCATGAGAAAGGAAAAGCAAGAGCTCATGATAGTTATTGGTTAAGTGACAGTAGGGATGATGGTGACTGGTTGGGAACACCATGAACAGAAACTCTGGTATGAAAATTTAAAACCCATAAAAGTAATTAGATTATATTTTTAGAGCGCTTTTTATACGTCATATCTATCTGATCATAATCATTAGTCTGCATAATTTTTAAAAAGTCAAAAAAAATCATGAGGTAGAAAGGCTAGCAAAAGGTCATTTTTTCATTGCCTTGCTGTTTGGAAACAGTATATTTCAACCCCTGCCATGGGCTTGCTCTGTGGTGAAAGGGCTGTGACCCGCACATACTACCAGGAGGCACGGAGCTCATAATGTGTGTCCCCTCAGCCCCATAGATGGAGGTGAGACTTTCCTCGGGGGCCCCGTTCAGTTCCAATAGTCCTTACTGAGCATGCTGTTAAGACTCAGCCTTAAAAATAAGAAGTATCTAATAAAAAAAAAAGTGCATGACCTCCTGTGACTAAAAGAAGGAAAAAAATCCAGCTCTAAACTTTTAAAAGAAAGTGCATCTTTATAATAACAATAAAATCCTCCCAATCAAGACTTTAAGAGGCAGACTGCATCCCTATCTTTGCCTGGGGCCCATAACTATCCTTAGCTAATCTTTCTCTGACAGATAAAGAGCTGCTATATCTGTTCTTATAGCTCAATTTTAAACTTTATTCAGAGAAGTGGGGAGAGGAAGCCCTGGATGAGAATAAAGAATGAGTGTTTGAGAGTGGGCAAGGGGAAGAGAAAGATGGGATTACTTATTTGCAGAATAGATGCTTGTAGAAAAAGCAAATCTAAGATCCAAAGCCTTGTGGTTCGTTCAGGGATACTTTAGACAATCTTTGAGACTGCAGGGTCACATCGAGGTCAGTTAGCTACAGAATTCCATATTTACTCCAGTCCAGCCTTGCCGGAGGTGTACCACCAGGGAGGGTTATTCTGACAGATCGAATGGGTGCCCAGATGGCCCCCTTCTGAATGAGGAGAGAACAAGAGGAGCTTTTCAAATGCTGTGGCAAGTGCAAAGGTGACAAACAGGAAGAGTTTGTGAGAATTCTGTGTCCCCGCCAATCATCCCCATGGAAAGCTATGAAATCTTCCGTGCAAGATATCTCTGAAAATTAGAAAGATATTTATCAGCTCAAGATGGTTTCCATTTAACTCTGTACTAGAGATAGATCATTCTAAAGGGCCATTTGAATCCTACGGTGCTGTATCTTCATGAAATTGATATTCTTAGTCAATATGGACCTTGTTAGACGCCTGGGGTGGGGGTGTCCGCCCAGCTCACACAGACACCTTTCTCCGTGACCTTTACTGGTAGATGGGCAGAGGCAGCCATGTTTGTACTATTTGGTTGCATCCTCCTGGCTATAGCTGATTGGATCCTGACCCAAGAAAAGCTGGTTAAATTCCTCCTCCCAGGGGGTTAAGGGTGTCTAGATTGGTATAGCTTGTTTGCCAGAAGTAAAATAAACTCAGAATCCTTGAAGATACCATCACTCGTCATCTCTGTGGAAAAGTGAAAAAAGTGTTCTGTTCAGAGACAAGGAGCTAAGAGTATTGGTGGTTCCTGTCATCTTTTTGGTCCTCGGTTCTAGTTCTTTTTAAAGATCTGGCTGTACTTGGGGTCTATGAGCTGTGTCAATCCTTCCAGCAAATTATTTTTATGTCTTAAACTAGTCAGAGTTGGTTTCTATTACACGCATCTAAAAAGAATGTAAGTATTTTCGACTCAAATGTGGGGCATGAGATCTGTGCCCATACAGAAGACAATTAGTCTGATGATTACAGAATGTATCACCTCTGAGTCTGCCATCCCATAGGTAGCTTATTATGTGAGAGATGTCCCAACCTCCAACCGTGGAGTCCACCTCCTATTGTCTTCAGATCCCATCTAGATGTCTGGGGAAATCACCAAAGGATCCCAAACTAGGAATTATCTTAATTATTCTTTTCTCAACCTCTCTCCCAAGCATCCAATCCCTCCTCAAAACCTTTTGGTTCTACCTCCAAAATTGATCCTAAATGGATTCACTTCTCTTTACTTTCAGAGTGGCTACCCTAAGCCATCAGTCCATTTAGTTTGGTTTACTGCAATGGCTTCTGAGCTAGCCTCTGGCCTCCTTGTATCTACTTTGTTCTCTCTCCCCTCCCAATACATTATCTACATGGCAGCTAGATTGATCTCTTTGAAATGTAAATTAGATCATGTCACCTTCCTACCTGAAACATCCTGTATCAGTTAGGATGCAGGCTGAGTTGATATAACAAAGAAACCTAAAATGCAACAGCTTAGGCAAAGGAAAGCAGATGATTCAGGGCAGGCAGGTGGTCAAGTTGTATACAGCCATGAAGGGACTCAGATTCCTTCTGTTTTGGTGCTCACCATATCATAAGGTGCTAGTCTATGCTACTGACTCTCCAAAGTCAAAGCTGGCTCTGTAGTCAGATGCATGCAGCAAGCACCAAGAGGAGGAAAAGAGTGTAGAGCAGATGCCCAAACATTAATTGACCTTCTAATTGTGTGGGCATTTGCTTGCTAAAACTCAAAAATTCTAGAATGGAAAAAAAAGGAGAGACTGGATGGGTGGGGGCAGGGAGAGACAACAAGTAGTCTTTCCACGCTCCTAATGGTTGCCCATCCTTGCACAATGAAGTCTAAACAGTTCATGATGGCCCCTAAGGGCATCTGGCCTCCTCTCTGTCCTACTGCTGCTCTTTTCTTTGCTCATAGAGTGGCACAACGACTCTCTTCTTTCTGCTCCTGGAACACGCCAAGCCTGCTCTTGACCTGGGGTATTTGCACTTGCTGTGCCTTCTGCCTAGAAAGCTCTGAAGTCATGTCAGCCCACATCTAGCTCCTTCTCATTTTTCAGATTTCAGCTCAAAGATACCTTCCTTCGAGGACTTCCCTGCTCTTTCTGTCTGCCTTATCCAGGCTCCCGAGGCTTACCCTTCCCCATCACTTTCTGTCATTGTTTTTTGTTTTGTTGACTTTGTATCATTTTTAAAATTATCTGAATTTACCTTGAGTGTTTGTTTGTATGTTTGCTTATTTATCTGTTACCCCACCCCTCACCTTAGAATTTGAGCTTCCAGAGAGCAAGGACTTTGTTTGTCCTCTTTACCACCCTAGACCAGCACAGGGGACAGTTCCTGGCTCACGGTACAGACTCAAGTGTTGGCTAAGTGAATCAGTGGTCAGCTTGGATCTGGCACCAGCATTCCTAG